AGGCAGAAGCGGACGGATCTCTGTGAGTTCAAGGCCAGCCTGGTCTACATAGTGAGTTCAGGTCAGCTGGAACTACAGGGAGACCCTGTCTCAAAAATGCTGGGATTAAAGGTGTGCGCCACCATGCCCAGCCCTCAATTGCATCTTTTTTTTTTTTTTTTTTTTTTTTTTTTTTTTTGTGCTGCCTGCCTGATCAGAGACATCATCAAGCATGATCAATTGCATCTTTTTAGCTGTGAGAATTCATGCCTTCCATGCCATTAACATGTTTGAAAAGTACAGGCAGCTAATTTCTAGAATGCCTCTTAGTTTGGGCTTATCATCCAACATAATTTGACTTAGTCTATACATTTTTGGCAGGACTACCCTGAAGTGATACCATGTTCTCAGCGTGTTAGCTGTCCTCTTACCTGTCATGTAACTTTTTTTTAATTTGGCTTTTTGAGACAGGGTCTTACTACATAGGCCCTGGCTGGCTTGGAACTTGCTATGTAGACCAGGCTGGCCTCAATATCACAGAGGTGCTGTGTAGTATGGTATCACAAATGACCTTCATATTGATTTTCTTAGCTAAGTTAGGGTTTTCAGTAATAGCCATGGTTTTATTTTGGGTTTGAGACAGGGACTCATGAAGCCCAGGCTGGTCTCAATTTTCTGTGTGTGTGAATGTACATGCCATGGCAGCCATGTGGGTTTGGGGTATTCCTCAGTTTGCCAAGATTGTACAGCAAGCACCTTTACCTCCACTCAGCCATCTTGCTAGCCCTGTTTATTTTTAATATAGAGTCTTACTGTGTATCTCAAGGCTGGCTTCACGCAGCAATCCTCTTGCCTCAGCTTCTCAAGTACTCAAATTACAGGCCAAGATGTGCAGATTTCAGGTCTAGCTTAATCCTGAGGGGTACACAACTTTAACATGGTTTTTGCTTTTCTTTGCAGGCATCCAGGGCATTGTGGCTGCCTACCGACAAACCTTGCCCCAAGTTCGCCTCTATGGACCCACCAACTTTGCACCAATCATCAACCACGTGACCAGCTTTGCAGCCCAGGCTGCACAGCAGAGGACTGCTTCAGTGAGAGCTGTGGGTAGCACTGGCAGTGGGTGATGAGGGCTATGTAATGAGGGCTTCTCATCAATGTGAGAATGTGCACCTGGGCTGTTTAGAGGGCTCTGGGAAAGACGATCTGCCTTAGCGTATGAATGAACTTGACTCCAGCAATACTTTGTGCTGTTGCTCTTGACTGATGGAGCTGTAACAGATGCGGAGGCCACACATGAGGGCTGGGGTGCAAGCCTCAAAGCTGCCCATGTCCATGACCATTGTGGGTGTGGGGAGTGCTGACTTTGAAGCCATGGAACAGCTGGATGCTGATGATGGCCCTCTTCTTGCCATGGAGAGGCAGCTGCCCTGGACATAGTAGTTTGTGCCTTACCACCGATTTCAGAATGTGAGTGGGGGAAGGTTGCTGGGAAATCAGATCTGAGCATTTACCGTGATGGGAGTGGGGTTGAGGCCTAGTAGGCCTTTCATCTGCATCTGGGCAGGATTGGGTCTGGGGTGAGATGCAGACCTTGGGGAACTAACCCACTGACCTTGCCTTTCTTCTCCTGGCAGGCCCCACGGGAGGCATCGGCACAGACTGTGCTTGCAGAAGTGCCCACTCGGCTAGTCTCCTACTTCAAGGCCCAAGGTTGGGCCCCATTAAAGGCACTTCCATCCCTAGTCAAAGGTCCTATGCAGGTGCCTCGGGCCTAGGTTCCCTTGGAATGTAGGCTATAACCAGTCCTCAGGAAGCTCCTGTGGGCCTGGACATAGGCCAAGCCTGCACATTCCTCATTGCTAGCACTTTTAAATACTTTATACTTGCTTCTTGCAGCAGCTCTTGATCTACCTGCGTAGATCTAGTAAAGACTAGAAGATCACCTCTGGGCCATCTCTGTGTAAATTTGGGGGCATAGGCTAATATAACTTGCTTACTTTGACATTCTGAGTCTCTGATGACCTTGGGGGTTGTTGAGAAGGATCCCTTTGTCTAATAGCCCCATCCAAATAAATTTACTATTCCTGGCCAGACATGTATTCACTCCATAAATAGACTCCCTTGCTTTTAAAGCAAGCATCCCTTCCCCAGAAGAGCTTGCAGAAGGTGAGGGGACAAATTTTGTGTAATGAACAGTATTACCAGTGCTCCACCCTCTCCGGTCTCACAGCTTTTGATTTTTTTTTTTTTAACTTTTTTTTTTTTTTTTTTTTACTTTTTTTTTTTTTTTTTTTGAGACAGAGTTTCCATGTAGCCTCAGCTGGCCTGGAACTTGCTTTGTAGATCTCACAACAGAGATCCACCTTGCCTCTGCCTCAAGTGCTGGAATTAAAGGCGTGTGCCACTATGCCTAGCTTAATTTTTATTATTAGAGATGTAAAATGTATATTCAGTGAAGAAGAACTTTAACCATGTTGTCCAGCCAGGCTTCAAATTCTTTGGACTCAAGTGATCTTCTTCACTGACAGAATAGGAACTGCTCATGCACACCATGCTGTTCAGATTGGTTTTGCTTGGAGGAGGGAGGGGAGCTTTTAAATGTAGTGAAATACATTTCCCCCCAACTCTTGTCCTCCTGAAACATATTTGGTGTATATCTTTTAGTGAGTTATGCATATTTACACATACTGCTTAATGCATGTTTAAAAATGTTTAATACTTGAGACCTCTTGTATTTTTGTTTCAAGTACTAGTGTCATATGTCATAGGTAATGGAACCAAGCATGGTGACTCATGTCTGTAATCCCAGCACTCAGAAATCTTAAACAGAGGATTGCTGTGAGTTCAAGGTTAACTTGGGTTATATAATGAGTTACGGGCCAGCCAAAATAAATAAAAAAAAATAGCATCATACATGCATTTGTACCTTGTTTTCATTTATTTTGAATTTTCTTACCCATCAGAACTTACTGCCTTAACTCATTCTTTTTCATGTCTACATATACCAAAATTTAGTCAATCCCTTATTTATGGACATTTGTTTTGTTCTATTTCCTGGGCTATTTTTGAAGGATTGATTCCTAGATATGGAAATGATAGATCAAAGAGTATAATTACAGATTACCTTCTATAGAAAAGTTATGGTCACACTCCTCCCATCTGTTATTCTGATAGCCCTCCTCCCACATATCTCAACTTTGAGTTTATTTAAGTGTGAAGGGTAGGTGTCATTTCATACCTTCAGTTAGGGGCTGTGTTCCTTCTCAGTAGCCTAGTCATAGGCTGCATGTGTCATTGACTCTATTGTTATTCTTTTGAACATCTTTTTATATATTTTTGTATATCTCAGTATGCAAATTTTGTATTTTCATATATGCTAATCGAATGTGCCTTTAAAAACTGTATCCACATATCAGTGACAATGAACGCTCCTTCAGTGACTCCATTTGTTTGTTTTGGTTTTGGTGTTGAGGTCACACTTAGGGCCTACAGCATGCTCCACTGGTGCTCTCTACCACCCAGCACCACAGTCCAAGCTCTGAGTACTTTACAGCATAATTTCTCTATTTGGTATTGTGTTTCTAGTCTTCCTTATAAGCAACATGATAATATAAATATTATCTTTGAGTATGTTTATGTGTTCTTTGAAAATATTCTTGCAGATGAAAAATACCATTTTAAAGAGTATGAAAATTAGCTGGTCTTGGTGGTGGATACCTATAATTTGGTAGACAGAAGGAAGGGGGATCTGAAGTTCAAGGGTCATCCTCTATATGGCTAGCTTAAGGCTAGCCTGGGCTACACAAGACTCTTAAAAAAAAATAGGGCCTGCAAGATGGCTCACTGGGTAAAACACTTGCTGCACAATCCTGGCAACCCGAATTCGATCCATGGAATCCACATAACAGTGGAAGGAGAGAACCCCACAAACCTGTCCTCTGACCACTATGAACAGTGGCACAAATGCCCACACATGCTCATTATACACACCACACACACTAAAAAAGTATGAAAAGTAGCTGAACGCGGTGGTTCATGCCTGTAATTCCTGTGCTGGATGGCTGAGGTAGGAGGACTGTCTAGAATTGAAGCAAACTTGGGCTACATAGTAAATTCCAGTCTAGCCTTAGCAGAAGAAAAATCTGAGATGTTTTAAGGCTTTTGGTTCCCATTGTTTTGTTTCCCACTGTTAAACTGATCTTTTTCTCTTTCTTTTGCTAAGAATTAGGACCAGGGCCTCCTGTGCGCTAGGCAAACTTGTCACTGAGCTACAGACTACCAGTTTTAGTTTTATTTTTAACCATAGCCTTTAGTTATTGGTAAGATTTTTCTAAGCTGGAGAGATGGCTCAGTGGTTAAGAATACTAGCTGTTCTTTCAGAGGGCCTGAGTTCAATTTACAGGATCCACATGGTGGCTGTCATCATTTAATCGTTTCAGGGGATCCAACGCCCTCCTCTGCTTCTGTAAGCATTGCATGCACTTGGTGTACCTACATACATGTTGGCAAACACTCATACAAATATAAAGATTTTAATTTTCAAAAACATTTTTTTTTAGGGTCTGGAGAGATGGTTCAGTGGTTAAGAGCACCGGCTGTTCTTGCAGAGGACCCTGGTTCAATTCCCAGCACCCACATGGCAGGTAAAAACCATCTCCAACTTCAGTTCCAGGGGACTCCAATGCCCTCTGCTGGCACTGCATGATACAGGTGTGTTTATACGCACGCAGGCAATACTCATAAAATAAAAAGATTTTTTCTGCTGGGCGTGGTGGCACATGCCTTTAATCCTCAGCCTGGTCTACATAGTGAGTTCCAGGACAGGTGGGGCTACAGGGAGACCCTGTCTCAAAAAGATCAAAAAAAAAAAAAAATTTTTTTTCCCCACTGTTTCTTATATATACACCCACATGCATGAGCCTGGGTACATGTACCATGGCACACATCAGGACAGGTGGCTACAGGGAGACCCTGTCTCAAAAAGATCAAAAAAAAAAAAAAATTTTTTTTCCCCACTGTTTCTTATATATACACCCACATGCATGAGCCTGGGTACATGTACCATGGCACACATGAGTGTCAGAGGACAACCTGCAGGAGTTCGCTCTCCCTCTGGTATGGAACCTGGGGATTCAACTCAGGTCCTCAGGCTTTGTGGCACCAAGTCATCTCAATGGCCCTTAAATTTTATTACAAATGTGTTTTGATGTGCAAGTGCCATGGCACACTTGAGGACAGAGGACAACTTTGTGGAGTTAGGTTGACGGCCAGTATCTTTAACTGCCAAGCTAACTCACCAGCCCCAAGCAATTTATTTTTATGTTATGTGGATGAATATTTTGCTGGCATGTATAGAAGTATACCTAATGTGTGTGCCTGGTTCCCAAGGAGGCCAGAAGAGGGTTGGTGGATCCCCTGGAAATGGAGTTAAGGATGTGTGTGGGTACTGGGAACCGAACCTAGGTCCTCTGGAAGAGCAGTAAGTGCTCTTACCTGCTAAGGCATTTCTCCAGCCCCTAACCTTTTGAGAGCACTTGGTGTGAGATCTTTTTTCTCTTCATTAGAAAACAATATTACCCAAATAGGTGGCTAGGTGTTCTCCTCACACACCAGTGTCAGTACACACGCACTAGAAACATAATTCTAACACCCAAGACAATGCTGTTTCTTTGCTCACACTAGTCTCCTTTCCTATTTTTCCCTGTTTCCACTTTTTTTCCAGGTCTACTCTTAACCTTTAAAGATTATTTTTTTTGAGACAAGGTCTCCCTGTAGCCCAGTAGCCCCAGCTCAGTCTCACAGAGATCTGCCTGTCTATGTCTCTCATGTACTGGGTTTGAAGGTGTGTACCACCACACCTGGTCTAATTCAGCTCTTTGACTCAAAAAAGTTTTCCTAAAAGTTTTCAAATCTTGACTTTTGAATGTCTACCTGAATTGAGGACACTTCCAGACATTGGGGTGGGATTGAGCAAAAGTGTGGCAGTTGTGCGTTGAAGCGGAGGCCTGTTGAAGACAGTCTCGGTCGCATGCTGTGTTCACTAGCTGTATGACTTGGAGCAGGAATCTTGCCTGAAGTTTCCTTCTCTGTTTTGTGAGGATCAAGTGAGGTCATGAATATTGTAGACTGTCCACAACACCATGTTTTGCACACAGTAAGCGCTGTAAACATCAACTGCTACAATACTGATTTGGATTTCTCCAAGGATCCATGGAGAGAGGTACACCTGCCATACTTACCTGTCGTAGCTAGCCAGAGCTTTCCCCTACGGACATCGCCTCAAAGCAGCTTTCTTTAGCACAGATCTTAGTTCTACTCCAACCATCAGCATATTTAATGGGGCTCCCCAGTGGCCCCTGTGGCACTGTCCCCAGCCCACTCTGAGGTCCGCACACCATGGGCACGGACTCGATACAAGCATGTGAAACGTGGATGGCCCCAGTTGCTTAGAATCTGAATCTTCACCTTGGGGAAGGCAGACGGAGGGTCATTCTAAGGAGACAAATGGTTCATGCCAACTATTGCTCTCCCAAGACTGTCCTCCCTGTCAGTGCTTACTGGCCCACTCACCACCTTAGCACTCTCATCCCCAGACAAACACACCTGTAGGTGGAAGGTTTGAATTTCAGATTTCTGCACATCAAAGGTGAATTTCCCCAAGAAAACTTCAGTAATATCATCAACCTGGAGGCCCTGATGGGTGAAAAGTATATGGAGAATCGTGAGGCAGAGAGGAAGGGGAAAAAAAAAAACACTTTGTTGAGAGTCTGTGTGTTCAGTTCCTCTATGTTCTGAAGTTAAGTTGCTTAGTGTGGAATGTAGGCTCTAAGAAACCAAGTAAAGCCAGGTGTGGAGGCAAGGTGCATCTCTGAGTTCAAGGTCAGCCTGGTTTGCATAGTTTCAGGCTAGTCTGGGGTACATAGTAAGACCCTGTCTCAAAATCAAACCTGTGAATAGCCAGGATGTCAGCACCAGAAAGGCTAAGATGGGAGGAATGTGAGCTTTGTTAGCCTGGGCTACATAGAGAGACTGTCTTACAAACACAAAAACAGGTCATTGGAAGGTTGTTCGTGGTTTGACCTTGAGCAGGGAATCTCTTCAGACCACTATGCTCCTTGGATGGAAGGAGACAACAATACTTCACAGGTTATGTAGATGCCATGAAATATGTGTGAAGTGCTGAGGGTGGAGTAGAGCTCAGTAAGCCATGCTTAACTTTTGGATATGGTTATCAGGATCCTTTACAACCTATGGCAGCAGATGAGGCAGGTGTAGTACGTACAGTTTATAGATGAACGAAGACTGAAATACTGTCTCATGTTGTCATGACTGCCTAGTGCTTCCTAAACAAAATCCCCACCTCCTGGCCTCACGCTCCACTCACAAAGACTGCAAAGTCCCTGGGGGCGCTGCTGGCTCCTCCTGTATGTGCCACGCTGAGAGGAGGATGCTGCAGGGTGATGTCCCTTAACTGCACACTACCAGGCAGTCGGATCACAACCTGGCCCTGGTCGCCTTCAAAAGCCCAGCAATTTCCAGGGAACACATCTGGCTGTGGAGTTTCAGGAGAAGTGAACCATCAGGATAGAGGACAGACAGCTACATTGAAAGGCTCTGTCCTAAAGTTTTAAAAACTGCATGGACTGAGAGTCTGCAGCTTGGCCCAGAGTTCCTCCTCCATTCCTGGTTCTTGCCTAGTTAGATTACTCTCAATGTGAGTCCCCAGCACTTCCAGGTCTCCTGTTTAACCTCATCCATGGCTTGGCAGGAGCCTTACCTAGGCCATGTCAGATCCTGCCTCCAGGAGCGCACCTCCTAAAGCTAAACTCACCTCAGTTCCAGTCCTGCTGCCACTGAGCTGATTCTTGTCCCTTACCCCAGCTCTCTCCCACTACCATCCCCACGACCCTGTCCAGGCACACCTCCAGTATGACTGTGGGTGGGCGGGCATAGTTCAAAAAGCTCAAGCGATTCCACAAGTAGGCAGTGTTAGTGTCCTCATAGTCGTGGGATGTCTTCTCTAGGTCGATGGAGGCTCCTGGAACCGGGAGAAGTCATTTTCAGGGGCTCCCAGCCCTTCCCAACCAATAGGTAGAAGGTCTGCCTGTGACAGTGACTCCCATTTCTTTCTGTGTCTCTTACCCACAGAGCTCAGGGCATAGTCAGGTTTCTGCACGAAGTCCTCATTCAGTCTCTGAAACACGAGCTTGGCCACTCTCTGAAGAGGGAGAGAGAGGGCAGACTCAGAGGGTTGCGGCTGGTTTATAGATGGGCCTGGCTCTCAGGGAACTCACTGCCCAGGGATGGATTTAATAGCTCCAGAGAGGTCCCTGCAGTGGTATCTCAGGACCTAAGATGCAGGATCTGCTTGGGTATCCCCTGACAGGCCCCTATGCACCTGCACCAGGGCTCACCTCACTGTGGGCTACACGGACACTGGACACCTCCTTGTGGAGTTTATTCAACTCAGCCTGCAGCT